AAAGATAAACTTTATCTTCAAATTGGAGTGATTGGAGGGAGTTAGACAATGAGAAGTGAGTCAGTGTTGTAATGTGTTTGCTTATTACGGTACAGAAATGTTGAAAACATGGATTGAATGCTTCCCCTTCCTCCCCCCTTGTGTTGTTCTACGTATTACATCGTTTTACCATGTTTTAAAAAAAAAAAACAAAACTTGTCTCTGCATGTCTTGAAGGTCATAACAGAAGCCCTTCTTAGCCACCTCTTGAAAAGCACATCAGGCTCTAACACGAACATGCAAATTATCATTTCCAATATGCTGTATTACTGAGAAGATTAGTGATGAGTGTGACTGGTGCATTTATCCTTCCTCTGCAAAATAAGGCAGCATTAGATTTTTACTCAGGGACAGTTCTTTTGTGGTAACTTAAGTCTATATTTATATATAGATGCATATGTGTATGTAAAACTGGTGTCCTGCAATTTAACAGCATTTGTGGGAAACCTTATTGCTACAGCAAGGGTGGATTTGATCAGTAGGTTTCTAGTAACTTACCTTTCCTGGATTCAATGGTAGGATGCAATTTTAACTCAGCCGTACCTATGCATTTCTGCCTTGCTACATACTTTGTGATGTGCTATTAAATGCTGTGTTTGACAGTTGAAGAATTGATGTTGACTTTCAACACCATTCTTACCGCGACCCCAACATTTCTTTTTATAATGTCACACGTGATGAAATAAGTCAGATACTCAGCCCTCTGTTCTCAGGGCCTTGCTGGAGATGAGCGTGGGGCTTTCATGTGACAGCTGCAGAACCCGAGCAGAGCTGGAGGGGCCCCTGACACTCTTTCCACAGCAGTCCTGCTCTGAGCAGGGAGCTGGCTCAGGATGTACTGGGCATTGCTTCAGTTAAGTTACAGACATGTCCAAGAATGGAGATTCCACAGCCTCTGGGCCCTGTTCCCGTACTTAATCATCCTTATTGAATATATCAAAAACATTTGCACAATTGGAACATTCTTTGTTGAAACTTGCGTCCACAGCCCCTAGTCTTTTTGTCGTGTATGTCTGTGAAGAGTGGCTCTCTCTCTTCTATTAAGGGATCTATAATGGGTTCAGAAAACTCGTGTGTGTCTGTAAGAACTGCTAGAAGAAATCAAGCCAGTTTGAGAAAACATGAACAGTATCTTTTGCACCATCCTAGTCTTCATCCATGCCTCGATGCAGTGGACCTAATTATAAGCACCTCAACTAGACAGCATAGTGCACATTGCTTCAAATGATAGAAATTAAAAGTGATTCTACTCAGTCACAGCCCTGATCAATGCCAGTATTCTTACCTATAATCAAGAGACAAAAACGGAAAGGTTGAACAATTTAAGAGTAAGAATCCTGGGAGAGCAAGAAAGCTTTCCATGGCAGCATGTACTAGCAGTAGGTAAGTAGGATATTGTTTCCAATTCTGCAAAAAAAATAGGAAATTAAAAAAAAAAAACAACCAACTATAGAATCCTCCATTACATCACACACTGATACTAAAATTTTATTTGAAGTGTCTGATCATTTCTGTGCATCTTCTTAATGTAGTTGTAGATTCTTGTTCATGTACAATGCAAGTGTTAGATCACTAAATATGTGATTTTTTTAAAAAAAGGTATTTTTTGTTGTTATTAGCAACTAATTTTAAGAAACACTATCTTGGCTACATAAACGTGAAAGATAGAGTTTTAATCTAACCTGAATATGTGCTTCTGCTGAACAGAATTAGGTCAGCCAGGTTAAGCAGTGGTGCAGGCTGATCTGCTCCTGCAGGTGCCCTCCATTTTGCAGGTGAGGCAGAAGGCAGATGCTGATCCTGCTGCCAGGTGGCACGCTGCTGGCTTGGCAAGCTTCGGCTGCTGGAACAACTGGAACCAATTGGGAGCATGAAGGGAAAGAACCCTTGAGGAACAGTGAAGAAAAATCAGGGAGACTCACAGCTAGCATGCAGAAATAGGATGCTACTAAAGCGTTTGGTTAGTAATAAATAGTTAAAATATTAAGAATTCTGAATGCAAACAGTGTTCTCAGAAATTCTCCATGAAAAAAACATAACTGTGTCATTTGCCATTTCATGAGAGAGGATAGTTGCTGCCTGCTTCTGGGAGAGGTATGCAAACAGCCAGTGAAGGAAAAACTTCTTGTTTAGGGAGTAGAAGAATCTTCAGTAATCAAAATAAACCTTTAAATCCCAGATTTGTCAGGACTGAATGAGGAGTGGTTGCTTATGGGTTTGCTGAGAGATGAAGTCTTTCCTGCCTTGAGAGAGATGCAGATACTGGAGGAGCTTCTTTGCTGTCTGCACTTTCAGGGGAAGGAGCTGCTCTGTGCTTCCTGTGCCAGGATGTATGGGTTCAGCTGGAAGACCCTTCTCTCAGTATTCCTTACGCAGGCTGGGATGAACGTTATGCTCCTCCCTGCTGTCTGTAGGAGTGATTGAAGCCTGCAGATCTATCTGTGCTCTTCTGGGAGCAAGTTGTTGTTGTCTTCCCTGATGTGAGTTACTTGCAATTAGCCTAGCTCCCCCAAAGTGTTTAATGTCCATACCTGTTTATAGTGTTTGTAGTCTTGTCTGCTGAGAAGTTGTAGCAGCTCAGGAAAGGAGCCATTGCCAGCAAGTTAGTAGGAATTATCTAAACATGGTTCTCGGGAAGTATCAGGCTGTTCTTACTCCCTTTTTGTGTGTGTGTGTGAAAATAAAACATAATAGTCTTTCATTTAATCTTGGCTTTATTTGGGAGAAGCATATAACGTCTCCTCATCTACTGTGTATGTTTATCCACTCTGTTTGAAACTCTGCCCTTTATGGCTGAAAGAAGTAAAACAAAACCATTCAGTTGATTAAAACTAGCAAGTTCTTGAGCTGGCAAGTCTTGATTTTGCAAGGTTGGTTTTAATTAGGTTACATTTTTTCTGTCTCATTTTATGATGCATCATGTAATAAGATGCATTGTTAGCCTTAAAATAATAGAGTGCAGTTTGATTCTCATTCCTTATATGGCAGATGACTGTTGTCTGCTTAGATACCATCTGTGAACAAATGAAACTGAAAAAAACCTAACCACAAGACAAGAGAGTGCTGTGTGAAGACTGGTACATTTTACAGTGAAGATATTTTGATGTGGCATTACACAAACCCGCAAGATAGCTTCTTTTCCTTCTTCCTGCCTTTCATTCAAGAAAGTCTCGGTAGGCAGCCATGAATGACATTTCTAGAAGCAGAATGTGGCTGCTAGATTCAGAAGATCCTGACTCATATGGCAGAGTTGGCTCTTTGGAAGAAGTTACTACTTCTGTTGTTTGTTGTGATTGAAAAGGCAAGTTAGCAGAGAAAATTGGAATAAAATTTGACTAGCTGCTTTCTCTGTTTTAGGATTTGACTTAGTTTTCCAGTACAATCATTCAAGTTTGATACAGAAATAAGCATATCAGAACAGTTTTCCTTATCTCAAAAGCACTTTCATGTTTTTTGGCTTTTTGCTCATTGTAATGTGGTACTGCAGCAAAATGTTGTGCTGCAGCGTGCACAGTGAAGGATTAATCTGGAACTTCTAGTCTGTATTCAGCATGTTTATATGCTATTATCTTTTTGTTCAAGTTTTGCAGAGTATAGTTGTATTTTGGATTGATGAGAGTGCCAGTGGAGCTGCTATTCTCTTTGAAAATGCTGTCAAAGTAGTCCTTTTATTTGATTACACACTCCATCTGCATTGCTTGTCTTACTTGTGACATAGCTTGTGAATCTAGAAAGAGCAGTAAGGGAGAGAGAGTTAAATATGAAAAAATGAAGTCTTCTAATAATTGCCTTTTCTTCCATGTACTTGCTGTGTTACAAGTATGTGGTGATCTCACATAGGAGAAAATTTCCAAAGCTAAGGAAGTAGAGAAACATACATAAAGTACTTACGAGTGATAGTGCTACTGAGTGGTACCTTTTAAATGCAAAGAAAATATCTGCAAGACTGGGGTTTCTTTATAGCATCTGTTAACTGGAAAGCTTTTGTGTACAATAAGGAAAAGATAATGGCTATGCCTGGTAATTGCACGTTCCTGTTTACCAGTAATGGTAGTTTTCCATAACTATTTGTTACCTCTCATAGTTTTGCTGGGGATTACAGTTCAAGAAATGTTTGTGGTTCCATTATGCATAATATATATATATATTTTCATTTGAGATATGAAATGATATTAAATGGGCCATGTAAGGTAAGTAGATTATAGAGGCACTAGAGAGAGTATTAAGTTACTAAACAGAAGATGACTGAATTGTTGCACTGCTAACTGGGTTATTTAACTCTGTACTGGAGAAAATGGTAGCCCTAACTCATTCACCAACGGATAAATCTTGTGATTATATGAAAAAGGACAGTCTGTACAAAGCCTAAGGTACAACACAGCTGTTCCTAAATCTAGGTGATAGTTCATGAAACAATTTTGTTCTACCAGCATCCTACTGAAATCTACAATTCTCCCTACTTCAAAAGCATGGTTGAAACAAGACCTTACCAAAAAGCCAGTGGAAGTTTTGGCATAGCATGCAAATAAGGCTGTCATTTGAAAAGTAATTCTCTAAAAGTCAACACGAAAGAGTGCTTTATACCTCTGCTGGAGAAGCTTGCAAAAAACATTGTGTTTACTCATTGCAGCCATCCCACTTGCATATTATAAAAACACACCTCTTGGCTTCGCTTCAAGTTGAGATTCATTTAAACACTAGTGGTGCTAGCTACATATCACATGTAACAAACAGAAAGCTGTCATACTGGTATAAAGCATGATTAGTGAAGTCTTTTACCTCTAGAGAAAGAATACGTGCCTTGCAGCCAAACTACATACAACCTTTCAAACTCTTTAATGGTATTGTGCTCTGAAATACACTTGCAATGACCACTCACAGCCACAGTGAAGTAGTATAATGATGGGCTGATCAATTAACAGATTTTAAAGAATGATCACTTACAATCTTTTTTTTAACAGATTTATCTCAAACTAAATACTCCTCGCATCAAGGATGTTGATTCTTCTGGCTTTCATTATTATATTTCACATAACTTCAGCAGCGCTGTTGTTCATCTCAACTATTGACAATGTAAGTGTTATTTCTTCTTCTTGTCCCTCAATCACCCAGTTATTTCTTTGCTTTATAAATCTTTTATTACTGTTTCAATTTTCTAGATGTGTTTTGAGCCTTAGAAGTTTTCCACCAACTTATTATGAGAGCAAATGTTTGTATAAGAAAAAAATCATATTATCCTAAAGTTAGTTCCTATATAGCACTTAAAATTATGCAACTGAAAATAGATTTGGCCTCTTTTCTTCAAACCAGCCTCAGAGGAGGATAATTTCTGCTATGAATTAGTTTCAATTCACTTGAAGTAATTTCAGCTAAAAATTTTAGAATCATTTGGCTTTCTTTTCAAATTTCTTTTAATTAGTTTTGTGATAAGAAAAAGATTGCTTTCCACTGTTTACATCTAACTCTTAACATGAATGACTTCTTTCCAAAACAGCTGGCACAATGATTGGTGCTCTTAACTGCATTGGGTTCTTTCTCTGACAGGTTCAATGAGTGCACAGGCTTTTGGAATTAAAAAAAAAAAAAAAAAAGTCTACTGGAAATACTTTACCTCACTTGTGAAGCTGGTTTGAATCCCATAGTTTTTCCAAAGACCATGCTTTAAGTGAAATGATTTGATATCCACAACTCTTCATTGCAAAATTGTATGAACTGACATGTTATTTTTCAGCCAACCAGTCGATACGCTGGTGTAGGTCATTAATTAAAAGCACTAAAACCAAGTTTTATTGCCCTGCTCCTTTGAATATTTAGAAAGCTAGGACAGTGGACAGGCAAATTATTCTTAGCTCAGGTCAGTTACACACAAAGGATTACAGAATTCCAAAACCATGCACTCTGCTTTGTGTCATTAACTACTTTTAAGCAGTAACAAATGATGCAACCAGCTTCTGCTTGGTTTTAGCACTTTCATAGGTTTTATGTTGTCAAGAAAATCACTCTCAAAGTATGAAAAAATCTTCAAAGCTGAAAAATAATTTATTCCACTTGGACAGCAAAAAAATGAATGGCTTAGTGCTATTGAGAAAGCAATGCTTTTTCTTAACACAGTAATCCAGTGTTCCTCTGACAGATATAGCTACCGTCATGATACGCTGATGTCCTTATTGCTGTATTGTTGCAAATCTGCCTGGTATTTGTGAGGTTTCTGGAATGTCTCTTTAAGCAGCTGATGGTTCCAGGAGTCATATTTAAAAGTCATATTTTTCCAGAAACTACTCAAAACTGAGGCCTGGGTAGCTATCGGAACTGGAGCGGATTTCCTGAGGAAATGCCACTTGTGTGGAGTGGTTGCAGCATTTCCCAGGCTACCGTAAAAATCTCTTCAGTCACTGTAGTACTATTTTGCATTAAATGTTAAAACACAGAAATAGAAATACCACAGTGAGATCTTAATTTATTGCTATTACTTCCAGTCAGATGCCACAGTGCACAAACTGCATTTGCACACTGGCAGCACAGCTACGTTAGTTGAGATTAATTCATCCAGTGTCGGGAACCAGAAAATTTGTAAACAGGGTTTCTGTTTCTTGGTTTATTACCCTGCTGTTTCCCATGAGTTAAAAAAGTGTTGTGCCTTAAGGGAATTTACATTCCAAAGACGGTTTGGATGAACAAATTATAGCTTGTTGGGGTATCTTATGGCGTGAGCAGTCTTTGAATGTCCAAGACTTCTGTCTGAAAAGTAGAAAATCCTTTGTGCTTCAGGATTGCCATCTAGTCCCCTTATTACTTCACATGGGTCTAAGATGAAAATGATACATGAATAAAGAAATACCCTTTATTCCAAAATTGAACAGATAACATGCAGCCTTCAGTTTTGTGGTCAGTACATGACTCAGTGCAAATTTATCAGAAAAAATGTAGAAAGGTCTCTAGTCTCTTTCTTCTGCTTATTACTTCCCAAGCCTAGATCTCAAGCAAGAGCACTGAAGCTTTCAGTTCTTTACTGGGAATGCAGAAGTATTTTCCAATTCTTAATGCTGTTGGCTTCCCATCCCATCTCCAAATATGAAAGAGTAACACGTTTCTTGCTCTCTCTTTCTTGAGACCTAGCCTGTACAAATGCTTTTAAGTCCCTTACATCTGAAATTTAGTTTGAAAGATTAATAAAATGAACAGATGTTTGTTCCAGTGGATGTACCTTTACTTTTATTTTGCAGGCCTGGTGGGTAGGAGATAATTTTTCTACAGATGTCTGGAGTGCATGTGCCACAAATAATAGCACCTGCACACCTATTACTGTTCAGTTCAGAGGTGAGTATCTCTGCATGCGTGTGTCTGAGTTCCTTTAGCAGGAGATAGAGGAAACCAACATAAAATTTACAGGGACAAGAATATATGCTTGTTCAAAAACCTGTATGTTCTAACTACTCATGTCTTTTAAATTCTTCAATACTGGATTTCCATTTTGGAAAAGCAAACTGTTCCTACAAGCTCTCTCATAGGAGAACAGAAGGAACTGGTAGGTACACTGAAAGCCCAATAGGAGGGACTAAACACGAGTAATTAAGAGCAAGAGCCAAAGAACATTTAAAGTACTGGATCAAGTAGAAGTGGTGAAGACATCTGAAGGTAGCTCTGCAGTGGTGGAACTTGCCTCTCAGAACTGAACTTTAAAAGAACCTAAATGCACTGTTTTACAGGCATGGGGATAAAAGGGAAAGAAAATGAGAACACAGTCTAAAGTTTTAACATACATATTGTACTTAATATCTATGCAAAGAATTAATATACAGTACAATCTAACTTACCCTGCTTTACTAAAAAATATGTATTTTTTTATTCTCAAGAGTTACTTTAACTATGTTCCCACACTTTCAGTTAGTATATATTTCAGATAGGTAAATGAAGAGCCATGTAGCCCTGTAGTGACTTTGCTGTCCGAGTGTGGGGTCATATCTATATTGCAGGGAGACAATCCCATTATGCACAGGCACATCTAATCTAATATGAATTTAGCCTACACTTGAGTTTCACCCTGTTTTAGTGCACACAGGGCACTGGAGGATGTGGTATGTGAGAAATGGTCTCTTCAGTGTTTTATTCAGTTTTCTGAAAAGCTTTTAAAAGTCTTTAAGTCACTGGCTGTATTAATAAAAAAAAGGCGAGAAGAACCCTCGTAGGCTTGCACAGTTGGTTTACTGTGTCTGCTGAACTCCTGCGTAGAGAGTGTAGCTCTGCCCTTCTGCTCATTGCAGGAATAGGCAGGGGGGGATAACTATTTTTAATCAAAGCTGCTTTTGTTTTTTGCAGAATATCAATCAATTCAGGCTGTTCAGGCCTCCATGGTCCTATCTACAATTTTCTGTTGTGTGGCATTTCTGGTTTTCATTCTTCAACTTTTCCGTCTAAAGCAAGGAGAAAGATTTGTGTTAACCTCTATTATCCAGCTCCTGTCATGTGAGTGATTTTTCAACACTTATGATTTAAATGATATTTGCATGAAAGTACGAAAGGGAAGGGAAAAAAGGTTTCAAAAAGAACGAGCTGTATGAGAAATCTGTAGGACTCTGGAGGTCATAGCTTGTCCTGCATATATGTTTAAACATGGAACTGCTCAATTCTGTACTGTTTAGGCAGTGGAAACATGGGTAACATCACAGCTCAGAAGTAAAAATTTGGTAGGGAAAGAATCTAAGATTCTGAGCATCTTGATCAAATTAAGTAACTCTGCAAATGTTGCAGGCAGGTACTTCCTTAATTTTTGTTAGTCTTTAAAACTACCCAGATGTTAAGAATCATTCTGTGTTCATTACAAATTACATGAATATGCAACAGTGCTTAAAATTTAGTCCCTGCCAAAAAAACTGAGAGCATGTCCTGAAATGCCCTCAGTTTAGTTTGCAGATGGAAAAAAAGTGTTTGCAAAAAGACACTGCTGGAAGTGGCTGCCAGATGAGAGTCAGTGGATGGTTATTATACATACTGATATTATCTAAAATTACTAATCTTTGCTGTTTTTTCTCCTCCAGGTCTGTGCGTTATGATTGCAGCTTCCATTTACACAGATAGGCATGAGGAACTGCACAAGAGCACTGAATATGCCATTGAAGTTTCTGAAGGCCAATATGGCTATTCCTTCGTCTTAGCCTGGATTGCGTTTGCCTTTACTCTGATCAGTGGTGTTATGTACCTAGTATTAAGGAAACGTAAATAAATGTTGGCAGCTAGTTACTACTGTCACGACAGTACAAAACCAAATTCCAATAACTATTTTGTATATAATCATTTACATGGTTTTGTAGTAAAGGTATTGTTTCTCTAAAAATGTACTGTGTTCTTGATATGAAACAGAATACAAAAAAACCCCAACCAACAGCAGGTTTAATGGAATGCCTGGCATTCGGTCTGAGCGAGACTGACCCAAGTTTTCTTTTACTTATTTCACCATCATCTGTGGTGGAATGGTGTATTCCCTTTTCTAGGCATTAACAGTTCCTGGCCTCTGTCAGATTACTGTGAAAGTCTTTGCAAATTAATTTGGAAGCAATATGCTAAGCATATTCCTGGCCAGGATCTAGCCCTTTGGGATGGGATAAATACAGGGGAAGGGAAAAATGAGGCCAGGATCGTGGTGCAAAAGCAAACAAATATAAAAGCCCAAAACTGCACTCAATGTGGCTATTCTAGCAGAGGACGAATGTTCTGCTATTTATATCGTGCAGTAAGTGTCATCAAGCTTTTATTAAAACCACTTGCTTTGCAAAAGTAAACAACTCCTTTTTGTACTCCAGCAAATGAATCTCTTTATCCTTCTTCACGTTTAATTTAAGCATACAGAGCCTTTGCCAGGAAAAGTTACAAGCAAATCCGAAATTCAGTGCACAACTTGGGACTGGAGTAGTCTGAGAAGAAAGAAGTACTGCACTCAAGTCCTGCAGCCCTTTATTTTTGCATTGTGCAGTACCAAATTTAACTTTTATTTTTACAGCCAAACTCAATATGTTTATTACATTGGGATCTGGCTAGATATATCATGTCGGCTAATATATAATTTAGAGAAGCTTTTTTTTTTTTTCTTTGTCTGCTCACTAGGAAATTGACCTTTACAAAATTCATTCTAAGTTCCTACATGGATTTTACCTGAATAAAAATTCTTACTGAAGGAATCAGGGTGTAACTATTATGAATAGGAGTTCCAGGATAGTTTTTCAAAATTTTTGGTGATTTTTACTTTTCAATAATTGTGAGAGAATTACTGTAATACCAGATTTAACTGCTCAGCAATATAATACTGGCTTTGGCTGGTGGTGATTTCAGGGTTTGGAGACCAGTGTGGGGAATGAAGTGGCTTTTTCTGGTTAGTCACACCTTTGATGTTAAAATGTAGCTTTGACTTTGTAAAAGCATTAACCGTGTATTCATTTCATGATATTCACTACAGCTGACCCAATATATAGGCAATAAAAATAAATGAATTCTAAATGAAATTTTACACTTAATGTAGAACAAAATTACTACTACAAAATAATGTAGCTGTACTAATGTTGATAGCTTACCCTATTACCCAGCAGCTGATAGTCTGACCCATTGCTGCAGGTAATTCATCCTTGAGTTCTCATGGAACTGTATAGGAATTGTCTGTGACATGAGTAATGGGTCGTGCTGTTCCATCTCCATTCCCTGAACATCCTAGAATGCTCTAATGAGTAATGTTATTATTAGAGAGCACAACAGGACTGGCAAGAAATTAATTAGACAAGTAAGCAGAACAGCAAATTAAAAGTAAAAATAACAGCAGTTACAAAATCAGTCTGAGAGAAATGCATTCTCACTTTCCCAGTTTTGCATGATGCTAATGTTCTTTTAGTCTTTTTCCTCTTAGTGGGAACACTCTGAATTTCAGGCATTACTACCCTACTTTTTAAAAAAGTGTTTCTGCTGTTTGCTGAATACATTTCAGATTCAAAACCTGAATTTTGCTAGCAAGCAGGATTTGTTTTAAATAAACAGTTGTAGGTTTAAGGCTGAAAGTAGTCTGTAAGTTAGGTGTTTGGCTAGTCTTATTCAAACATGAAATATTAAGGGTGAAATTCTAAAACAAATGTGCATTAAAGCTATTTTATATCTATAAGATAATTCTGTAACACTGTAAATTAAGCTGAAATGCCACTGACTTGAAGAGATGCTTCTTCAGTTTCTTGCCTTAATAATGCTTAGGTCATTTATAGAGCAAATATTTAAGATAAAGATGTATATATACATGAACTCAGCTTACTTTTACAATAAAAGCTCTGTCACTTTAGTTAGAAGGAAAAAGCACACACACTTCAGTGTACAAACAGCAGCATGCACATGGTGCCACACAGAGAACATACGTCATATTCGAAGTACCAAGAAAATAAATGCCAAAAAGTTTGAACAAGAGTTTTAACAGGACAAACATATTTTAGAATATTCTTTTTATTTGATATGCCTTTAAAATATACAATTTTCTATGCTCTATATATTATTAAACTGTACATGAAAATAAAGTTAAAAATTCTTGTATTAGCAAGCTCAATACATTCAGCAGTCTGACCTTGTCTTTAAGCTTGGGGTATATTTATACAGTGTGGGATGAGAAATAGTTGAGGACTTGTATGAACAGGTAAAATTGAACTCTTCCTGCCTGTACTGGAACCACACACTGGTTATTTTTGTCATTTGTTGAAGAGCTTTCAGGTAAGTAGAGATGTGTACTGATGTGTAAGTGCACGGTCCCACAAGAACAGCTACCATGTACTGCAAGACCCACATTGCTGTGATAAGTTACAGTTACTAGTAAGGTCTCTTTTCCTCATTGGCAGTGTGTTTAAGATTATTTTGAATGCTGTGGTCATGTGAGAAATGTTAAAAACAAGCCACCAACATCTGTATCTTCTCCAGCCCAAGCTTCACCCATGCAATGGGACAACAGCAGTACAGGTGGGTTTGCACAGATTGCTCTAAAATGAGAAGCAAGGATAATAACCTGTGGTGAACAGTAAGTCAAGCCCTTATTTTGCTTGTTCTCCTACTTTGCACTTACCCGTTCCTGAGGTTTTCATGGAGCAGGCACAAATATTAACTGTGTAGGGGAACACACTTGGTTCAGTTTCTGTAAGGGTCTGTGACAGTGCAACACCCTTTGCACATGGAATTCTTTCAGACTTCTGAGGAGAAGCAGTGTTGAATTTTTCAACAAGCTCTGGAGAAGGAGGGGTCCTTGCCAGCGAGGAAGATGTGGATCATGCTTGGAAGTCCAGGCTCTGAGACAAAAGCAGTTATTTGAACAAGGGTAGCAAGCCAAATGCACAACTTCTAATTCATACAAACTTTCCTTCATACAAATACAGAAACATCTGAATTGCTATTGTATAGTTTGCAAGCTACCAGAATTGTCATTTCTTGTTTATGTATTAACCTTCAGCATTTTGCTGATACTTGTTTTCTGTCTTTCCTTCAGCTTTTTGCCTAGACTAGAAGATACTCCTTGCGCACTTGTAATAACAAATTGGAAAATGTCGTGTGCTATTGAAGGGTGTGTGTTTTGTCAGCTTATTTACTTTGGATCAATACCAAACTGACTGAATTTGTAGACTTCTATGTTCTTTTTCCTTAGTTCAGCTACAGAGCTCACCAACCCATGCATATACTCTGTCACATAGTTTTAAAACGGGTATACACTGTGTGCTGCAGGTGCTGTCACAAAATTTGATGACTGTTATCACTTTCAGCAGTTACAAAAAGCTCCTGATGGCATCTGGACTGCACCACGTGGGGCAGATGTTGGTCTATTTTACTGCTGCTTCTTGGAGAAGGAATCCCATGTCTTATTGCTCTTCCAAAAAGTTCCCTAAAAAGTGAAACACCCCAAGACCTGAAAAAAAAACCAACTCTGAAGTGAAACTTTTAAGAGCCAACCCAGCAAATTTAAATCAAAATCAATTATCAGGAAATTGAAAGGCAGTCATATTGCTGTCATAAATGTCAGAAAACTTCAAACCAGACACATAAATACAAGGCAAAAGCCAGAAATACAGTGTGTGGTTGCACTGCTTCAGGGATTCAATCTTCTTAATATATTATCAGCAAGAAGTAGAGCAGCTGCTATATTCTCCTTTCCTTGATATTTCTGTATTTTCACTTTAGATAGTTTTACTTACTTTTTAGTAAAATTCTTTAAGCATCTTTGTTAAAGAACTACACTGTTTTGGAACCTGAAAGTTGGTAGGATTTCAAAATTGCAATTCTTTTAGGAACCGATGACTTAAAACGTTTTCAGTCGTGAAAGATTTGGAGGAGGAGGAAAGCAACAGCTGAGTAAGGAAGAGAAAAAGGTGTCTGGAGCAGCTGTGTGTCTGCCTGCCCGTGGTACCCGCAGCATCGTTCCCGTCCTGCCGTGCTTCGCAATTCGCGTTCCGACAGAGCCTCCTCGTGGTGAAACAGCGCTGCGTTCCCATTTCAAAACGCCTCTAAAAAGTCCGACTTTCCCTAAGTTCTGAAGCGTTCTGCAAGGTGCAAATCCCCAGGGACTGGGGACCGTCCCTCTGTTCAAACACTCTTTATGCAGATTTTTTTACTTGCTTTCGAGAGCTGTGGATGATTTTGCTCTCAAACATTTAGGTGAATACTTCACCTTTCATGCATACTGGATTTTAAAACCACATACATTAAATAACTCTTGTCTAAGACCTTTATTTATTTATTTATTTATTTTTTCCAAATGTACAATACTTTGTAAAACCTTAGTACAGGGCTGTTCATTAAACACATGTGAAATATGAAATCTTGTTTGAGAGCAGGAAAACTGCCGTCCAGTTGTTGCCCCAAGCAAAGCATGAGCTGTTCCCCACGCTGCACTTAGAAATAGGACAGGCTGCTTTGGAGCAGCTAGCACTGACAGTGCCATTGTTGCTTCTCAGTCACATTCAGGGCAGCATAAAACACTCACTAGTGGTGCTAGACTGCCATTGTAAAGATAAACATGTGATTGATGGAAACTTTGGGCTGTATTGGCATTTAATGAAAAACATCACGGTTTCCATTTAACTTCAGCTAGTTGAAAATAACAGGGTTTATTTATCATCTCCCTTTCAAAGCTAAACCTGTTACTTGTCTTCTGAAGCTCCTATCTCTGCAGTCCAACTATACTGAGTCCAGCTCTCCCCATGATTCAATACACAATGACTGAGAGGCAGGAAATACAACGACAAGCGTGGTGTTCATGAGGCCACTTGTGCCTTTGTCAGCCCACAGCTGTGATAAATCACACCCATACCAAAACCAGCATGCAGTTGCTGACAT